AAGTATCCACCAAAGCTATATCCCAAGCACAACCGACAACCTTTTCCTTCCCTTGATCACTTATGCAGCTTTGAAAGGCTATCGTTTTTTTTACAGTAACAGCGGTCTACACCTTACAAATGAGCACATGCTTTTTTTTAAAAAAAATACAATTACCATGATTCCCTTTTTTGTCAAATCCGTGGATTGTGCCGCTTTGTTTTCGTTTTCTCTTCTATTCATCATGGAGACAGTAAAAAGTCATATACAAGTGTGTTCGTAGCTGTTGATTTGCCATAGTGGTTGTTGATGAGAAAAAAAAATCTTTGGTTATTGCTTCTTTCCCTCCCTACTGCTGCTATTGAACCCCACTCTTTCCTCCCGCCTCAGCCACCTACCCTCCAATTTTTTCAAACTCAACTGGGGTGAAATAAGGGGATGCTATATATTACTCTGATTGGATATGAATAGAAGACAAAGTCGATATCAATAGAAGAATTTGATTTAGTAATTGGCAAAAAAAAAAAAAAAAAGGAGAAAAAAGCAAAGTGGTGGAGACAAGCATAGTGGTAGTAAAAGTCTCAAAGTGGGAAGAAGCACAGCAGTCCAGGTGGTGTAAAAAAGGGGTCATCCCAGATGGTTTTAGGGGAGAAGGATTTTAGTGGGGGAGCCAATTTTAATTTATTTGCTGCATCACAGCTCTGAAAGCGCACTGAAAGTGCTCTAAAAGTAAATTCTCACTGAAAGCACACTGAAAGCACATTGAAAGAAAAATTTCAGAGTACACTGAAAGCACTCTGAAATCGGGTTTTAACTCTAGTGTAAAAAGTATGTAGGTCACTATCCAAAAAAAGTGATGGAGAGTGGAAGAAGCCGGTAACATAGCCGAGATGAAAGGGTTTGTTTATTAAAGAGCATGAAGACCCGCGCTCAATGGAGCATATGGTCGCCCTGAAGTGCTTATATACAAATAAATTATGTAACAGTCTAGAGATATAAAAACCCTGCAAGTTGCCAGGGAAAAAAGTAGTAGGTGGGAAGAGAGTGCAAGCGAAATTCAAAGTAAGTGTAGGAGTGCGCTAAAGAAGTATAAAATAAAGAAGTTCAGCAGCCTGTGTTTCGATGGTCCGTGCACAGTTGGTTAGTACAATCTGAGTTGAAATACGAGTGTGAGCGTTAGTGTGAGAGTGTGTGGGGAGAAGGGGGTGTATGCGGGAAAATCTTTTTTTTTGTCTTGTTTGACTGTTTTCTTTTTGTCTCTTTTTTTTGACTTTTTTCGGTTTTGCGTTCTTTTTTTTTGTTTCTTTGGTTATTTTTGTCTATGGTTCAGTTCTTTTGTTTTTTTTTTGTTTTTTTTTCTTATTCTCAGTTTTTGTATATTTTTAACACTATAACGAAATGCGCTCATTATGAAAAGAGACGATCGACTGTTGCAAGAAGCGTGTCGGGGTCGAGTCGTGGTGGTGGTTCTGGGGACAACCAGTCCAACAGTTCTTGTCCGAGGTCGTCGGAGTCCGGCCAGTCATCATCCGGGTGGCATGTTCGGTCGATATCCGCCATTACTGCCATGAGCTTTGGCCAGTGGCGTTGCCAATAGTCGATGATGGTGGGGGAGCGCGGTTTCCGGCGAGGCAGCTTGTTCAACAGAAAGTCGATCGGGTTTGGTTCCGCGTCAGCAGGCACCCCAAGACACGACGCCACTTGGAGGCAGTCGATCAGATGATGGCGACTTGTGCGAGTGGTGCCACAAAGGCAAGAAATTGGACGACCTGGTAGCCAACCTATGCGCCAGCGCAATAGGCGGCTCCTGTCACGGGTTGTCATTGGTAACCAAAGAATGGGATCGATACCGAGGGAGGGATGTGCGGCCTTCAGCAGTTTCCCGCTGTGCTGATCACTGCGAAGCATCTACAGGTTTTCCATGCGGTGGGTGCGGATGACAGTGTTGAGTGCGCGTTTATCAGCGTCTTGTGGTGGGTCAGGCAGCTGGGACCATAGCAGGTTGTGCTTAAGAAGCTTGCACCAAAGATGGTCTTTTGCACAGAGGAGAGGACGAAGCTTGGACAATAGAGCATCGGCAGGCAGGAAGTGGGCACGGATGAGGAATTTGACGCCAAGGATCTGCACCCGTTCGGCCATAGTTGGTAACCCAGTCATATGATGGAAAACGGTTGTTGAGGAAGTGCGATGCCCGCCAAAGATCATACGTAAACATTCATCTTGTGCTGTGTTGAGGGCTTTCGTTTCGTACTTGTAAAAGTTGCAGAGTGCCAAGCCATACTCCATTTTTGGGCGGATGAACTGTTGGTAGAGGCGGGTAGAAAGGAGACGCGGAAACCCTGAAGGATTGCAACCAATGGTTTTGAGGGTGGACATTGCTGCACGAACCGAACCCGTATTGCGTTGGATCAGGGCCTTGGTGTCGATTTTCTTGCTGGTGTTGAAAGGGACGCCCAGGTATGTGAACTGTTGTTGGGTAATAAGCGGTTGGCCGTACAAGTGGAGTGGCTGAGAATTTGGTGAGGAGCTATGGGGATACAAGGCAACGCACTTTTCTGGGTTCCATCGATAACCAAGCTGGTAGGAATGTTCCTCAGCCTTGGCAAGTAAGCGTGGCATTTCTGCAGCGTTGGCCACAAGAGCTACATCATCAGCATACAACAAGCAGTTAACCCACTGCCCACCTACCGGTCGAAACACAGGCTGAACTGAAGAGGAAACAAAATCATCTAATGGTGATGAAGAAGAAGTAGGAAAGGAAGAAATGTGGGTACGTAGAAAGGCGGGAAGAGAATTAATGTAGAGGGAATATAAGTGAGGGGACAAAATTGATCCTTGTAGGACACCGGTTGTTGGCTTGAATGAACTGGATTTGACACCAGAGAGAATAACCTCTATGGATACCTCGTCGAACAGATTCCGGAGGAGACCAAGTAGAGCAGGAGAGGCCATAGGAGCAAGCGCACGCCAAATAATCGCACGATCAACAGTGTCGTAAGCTGACTTGATGTCAAGGAAAACTAGGACAGGCAATCGGTTACGTCCACCAGCACGGCGGTCTCTTTCGGCAAGTTCTTGTAGACATAGGGCTTAGTCGAGGGCACTACGTTGTGGACGGAAACCACCTTGGGCTATATCAAGAGGGGGAGAAGCAGCATGAAGACTGTCGGATAAGCAAATTTCCATTATTTTTCGAAATACTGATGTCAGGCTAATAGGGCGGTAGTTATTGGGCATAGTAGCATCCCCTTTTTTGAATATAGGAATGACTTATGCTACACGCCATGCTACACGCCATGCTACAGGAGTTAATGACCATTTCCAGCAAAGTTGGAACAAAGCAGTTAATGGTGGCAGCAGTTCATTGTGGATCGGTGAGAGCATTTCAGCACGCAGGTGATCAACACCAGGTGCTTTACGGCGAGCAACAGTTTCAATGGCAGTTTTTACTTGAAGGTGAGTGAACGGGCAATCATCCTCAATTTCATGTGGTCCATGTGCTGGGAGGGGTGCTTCATCTCGATTTGCTGGTAAGTTGGCACCGGCATATACCATTTCTAGGTGCTGTTTCATGCGTTCGGCTGCGACTTGTGGACCGGCGGTATCTGTAAAGGTTGGCTGTACTTTATGATTTTGGCGAATATGCCTGGTGGATGCGGTTGTCTTTGAGAAGTCATCAGTGGCAAGCTGGTGACAAAAGGTGCGCCAGGTTTGACGTCGCCGTTTTTGGATCAAGGACTTCATGCGTTTTACTGCTTCTTGGTGCCAGGTGAGCCACACTCCTTTTTGTATACCTGTTGCTGTGCGACTGCGCTGATAACAATGTTCGCGATGATTGAAGGCCTGCTGCAATTTATCGTTCCAAAACCAGGTGGCCTTTGGAAGTCGCGGAGCTTTTCGACCCAAAGTCTCATCCAACGCGTTGTGGATGGCTGTGGTGAGGCTGTTGGCCAGCTGTTCGATATCAGGCTCAACATCAAGGGTTAGTGCATTTTGGAGACTTTCATGAATACTGCCGACATGATCTTTAAAGTTTTGTTGGTATTCTTGTCGTTTGTTAGTCTCTTGTAATTTACTGAGGGCCCATAGTTGTCGTGGGTGGTCGAGGCGGTCGGGTGGTGGGATCGGGGTGGTGAAGGAGAGATGAACTGGTTTATGTGGAGAGCCAAGGTCCTGCTCTGTTGCTATAGTCAAATCCACATTATCCAAAGTATTAGTGCTCACAAACAAATCAATGATACTTTGTTCATAGATGTCGGTCCGTTCTCGGAACCGCTCAAAGGTGTTCTCGCCAAAGGTGAGTTCAGCATTCCAGCAATGCAGTTGTCGTGCACGGATCCAATCACGGAAGAGCACACCACGGCCATTTGTAGTGCTGTCGCCAAGTAGTTGGATATCACGGGCGTTGAAATCACCGCATATGATTGTGTTTTGGCAAGTGCTATTAGGATCTAAAGGAAGGGAATGGAGGATTGCAATGGCCTCGGTATCAGAGAAAGAGCGGAAGGGGGGAAGATAGACACAATAGATAAGGAGGTCAATGACCTGGCATGATAATACATAAGAGGATGTGGAAGGGAGTACATTTACGGGGTAGGGGAAGGAGGGATTGACTAGAAGAGCAACGCCCATTTGACCACGATTATTATTATTAACCGGTTGGCCATATGTGTGATGTTGGATCCAGTCAGTAGGGTAGCGATGTGGGGAAAGTAGAAAGGTTTCTGTTAGAAATATTAATGATGAATCTGAAAATAAAGTAGTAATTGGTTGTATGGCCTGACGGACCATACCATTTGCATTCCATAATGTTAATCTGATATTATTTGTATTTGTCATATTAATTATTGGGAATCGTTATGAGCGCTGTTAGTTGTTGTGCTGCCACTTTGAGGCTGTTCGTTACCAATGATCGGGCTAGCCGATCTGCTATCACCCATGGGGGCATCACCGTCATCATCAGTGCCTCTGCCAAGCGATTGCAAAGCAGCAATTGCAGCAGCTTCGGCCTCTGGAGTGGTTTGTCGAGAGCGAGTTGATCCACGGACATCATCATATTCTTCCTGTGTGATCAAATTTTCCAGAAAGAAAGAACGAGCAACTGAATACTTTACCGGTGCATGGATAAAACCCAGGGCTTTGAGTATGTGACCATGGTGGACTTCTGTGATTTTCTGTGTACGTTCTTCCACGGTTAGTTCAGCTAGTTTTGGATCTTTTAGTAGGTTGGGATCCAAGGGATTAAAGTCATCTTTGACATTGACACCGAGCTTGAGTAGGCGAGCTGCTATAGCACCAGCATATTCGTTATGAACCAATAAAGCTGCAGTTTGATGGTCGGGAAAATGGATGTCTAAAACACGCGAATTCTCGATCCGGAGCGTGCGCAAAAGACCACGCATGTTGGTGATCGTCATACGATGGCGGCAAGGGATATAGATGAATTGATATCCCTGGTTCGCTGGAACTTCGGTCAAGTGGCGGGCTGCTGCTGCAACTGCACGCTTCTTGGGTGCACGGACACCTTTAGCTGCTACTTTGGCGTAGCTAGGGGTAGTTTTTGATGCTGGTAGTGAAGAGGGGTTTTCAGTGCCAGGTGCATATTTGGATGCCTGCGATCCTTGCGGTGCTGGGTCCTCCGAACTGGTGATAGCTGCGTGCTCTTTTTGCTGCGGTTGATGTTGTTGCTGGAGCTTGGCTATCTCTGCTCGTGCTGCTTGGAGTTCTTGTGTTAGTGTAGCATTTTCTTTTATTAGTTTGCTGTTTTCGGCAAGGGCCTCTGCCAGCTGTGCGACCACTTTGTTAGTTTTATCAATACGCTTATGGATGTCCATAACATATTGTGGCATATTAGGGTGAAGGTGGTCATATTGATCACTATCTTCTCTGGCAGTTTCTGTAGCAAGGCGTTCAATATGCTCGGCCCAGTTGTTTTCATCAAACTGTTGTTGTTGTTGCTGGGGCACAGGTAGGTCGATATGTTCCTCGTGTTCGGTTTCCATTTCAGTAGCAGCTGTAGTTTGTATAGGCTTTTTGGTACTATGCAAAGGAGAGGCATTCTGTACCCTTGGTTGTTGGCGTTGATACATACCTGCTTCAAGGGCTGCAACAGTGAGTGGTTCCAGCATGATGCTATGGGTGAATTTTTTGCGGCATTGCATGCAGTGGAAGGTGGGGGCTGGGGGGTCAAAAGCTGTGTTAAGGTCAGCGGACATGTTAATGGTACCAAAGTCCTTACATTGTGTGTTCGGGCACACAATATAGGGTTTTCCAGTGGCAAAGTTCTGTTCCACAGTTTTAATGAACTCGGGGTTCAAAGGCTGTTTGTAAGGGGTAGCTCCTTTTTTACCAATAGTGCTCGTTACTGCTGTTGTCTTCGTTTTCGGCGCTTTGGTCATTTCGTTTTGACAATTTTTTACAATTGTTGAGCGCAGAGATGATGTCCGATTCTTTTTGAATGCGGGGATTGTTGATGGCCGCACAGGTATGTGAGATTGGCGCAATCGCTTCGGGCGTGATGGAATGGGGGCTGCTGATGCTGAATGGTTTTCGCCAGATGGGGATGAGTGCAATTGCGAAATGTCGCTGGACACTTGGCTGTTAGTGGGCGTGTTGCTGGTACTGTTCAGTGGTATAGGTGTTGAGGGTGCTATTTTTACTGATTTTTGGGGGGTTTTTTTGTAGTTTTCTTAAGAGTTTTGAGCGAAAATAATAACACTGGAGTTGGCAAGCGATTTCAGAGGCACTGAAAGCACACTGAAAGCGGTACTTTCAGAGTGCTTTCAGAGTGCTTTCATGATGGCTTTCAGAGTACTTTCAGAGTACACTGAATGACCGTTTTGTTTATGGGTGATACACGTCTCCTGCATGCCATTCATAGCTTCTTACTGGTTGGGGAGATGTTTAAGCGGCACAGTGACATTGGCGAGTTCGTGGCTTCCTGTGCATTAAGGCTTGCTAATGATTCGTTGGGAGAAACAAACTTCCATTCCCTTTATCCAATTCTATTTGCTCAAAAACCACTCATACACCCCTTTTCATTTGCTCAAAATTGCTCACACATGCATATAGTATATTGCTCATACGTGCATATAGCCAATGATAGTGCTTTATTAGACCACACGGCACTGACGGTGACGCGTCAGCACAGGTAGTAAAAAAAAGGATGGAATAATAGTATACAAAAAATAGTAGGGGAAAAAAATACAAAAGAAGAGCCATTTAGAAACTATTCTATAAACTACACATGCTGATGGTATTCAAAAAGCAGCAGTACTAAGGGATTCTTGTTACAGCGATGTACATAGAGATTTCCTATATATAAAAAAGAGAAAAAGTATGATCATTTAGAATACGTCCTATACTATATTGCTCTATGCTATTATAGCCCCCATCCTTAAACTTACCTTATAGTACATCATCTTGTCTGGTTTTCATGGACCACTGTAGCCTAAGGAGGGATGAGATAGATGAGGTTATAGCGAGCTGGTTAGTAACATGAAAGAGGTTGAAGGAATAGCTGGTGAAGTGAACTCAATCTCATTGGCAGAAGTGAAAGAAAGTGAAGTTGCTCAAGTGACGGTGCTCAGGCGACGGTGTTAGTATGAAGGACTTCAAGGAAGACACATTCAGCACGAAGATGTGACAATCTGATGAGGCCGTTCAAGTAAAAAAGCTCAAAGTACAAGTTGGAGATGCACAGCAAACGTAAAAAAAAGTGGGTAGAAGAGAAAAAGGTGACGAAATTGAATTGAGCAGAGCGGAATACTAAATAATCAAAAAGAGGGGCAAAAAGATACACCCAGAAGAAGAGTCATAAAAAAAAAGATACACGCAGAAGAAGCTTTTGAAGAAACACGTCTTTCATATAAAAAAAACTGCTTTATTCAATTCTTATATGTCCAGAGCGTAAGGCCATGACGAACTTTTTCATCTAATGCTCGATCGTTAAGTTCTATTGTAGGTCGTTCACGGGAGGATGTGTGGCCGGGTTCGCGGATTTTGTCTATCTCATGTAGAAAGCGTGTTGCCTATAAAGCTGATTTAGACTATGCTGCATATATCAAGATGAATAGAGTACGAGTGATCTCATGCTAGTCCTTACATTATCGGATCTCCAAGCTGGACGAGAGATCACTTCACTATCCTCAATATCGGACATGCATGCTGCAACAAAGATGTCTCCGGGATCTTGATACAAGGACAGTGCCGGATGGGTCTTATTTGCGTTGTACGTTTTCTTACGCTTGTTCGCCAACTGTCAACCGAATATATATTGTATGTTATTGCGAATCCATGCTGTAAAGAGAAGTTGAAAATAAACTTACACTTGCACGTGCAGCTCGTTTCTTGCTTTTTTGTCGGCGAGCTTCTTTTATATGGTCCAGCTGTGTTTCCCAATTTTTCTTATTGTAAAAAGAAACCCTGAGCGCCCTCTTCATAGCCTGGGTGCTCCAGTTAAAAAGCTGGTAATCACGACTCTCCGTCACTGTCCTAAGAACTTGATTTATGATGGTACAGTTTGGTTCATCATTGATGCGTAGGCTGTAATCCCAGGCGAGACCTTGGTGTCTGGATACAGAGGAATAGGCTTCTTGCAGAAGACTCTATATATCATAATTGATGAGATGTTTATAATAGCCCATGCAAAATAACTGTCGATTTGTAAAGCTTCTACAAATACATACCATCATACTACTACTGCTATTGCTCTTGGTATCACTTCTAGCACTGCTTGTATTGTGGCTCTGAATATATGCCGCAACTCTCTGTTCTAGCTGTCCTACTTGCTGGCGTAATGACTGGATTTCATTGTTATTGACTGGAGAAAAGCTTTGTTGGTGGAATTGACCTGCTGGGAACATGGTAGTAGAGAAAGTAGTGACGATATAGATTGCTATGATGCCTATCAATGCTAGAGAATGGCCCATCTATTTATACTTTGGTTGATTCAGACACCAAGTTACCGAGCTCTCTGCTAGATAAAAGTCTTGGCCAAATAAGTTGAGATGTCCGTTCTCTGAATGAGCTATTCGGTACAGGCCATCCGGAACACTTTTGCATGATATGCCTTGATGTGTAAAATCTGTAAACAAGTCTCAGGAAAAGTAGACATATATTATAGACAGGGATGCATCTAATCGCACGAGGATGGTATTTGTTGTTTCTCTTTCTTAGCTATGTGATGCAGATATAGTTTTGCTTTGAAGTAAGTGAGACAGCATTGTCAGATTCGGGGCATGTCTGTTGTATAACATCCATGAGTGCGTAGTACATGACAGAATACATAGATGCTTGGAGGAAAGAGAGAAAATTATATGTACCAAAAAGAGATGCTGCCCGCTGTACGCTATATATTACTAAAGCCAAAGTCATGCATAAGAAAGATGGGATATGTTAGTGTAGGGACCACTGCGCGAAAAACGAATTATCAAGTTCTTCAAAAACAGCTTGATAATTATCTGGCAAGGGGCAAGATTAAATAAAAAAACAGATATGTACCTTATGGCACCTACAGCTGCCACATTCGGTAGTTCTGTGCAAAAGTTTACAAAGCAACCTGATATGCAATTGGGAAAAAAAAAGTTGATGCATAAAATCATATAGTGAATGTCACTGCATCCTTTATGAAGGCATTAGCTTCCTCAAGATAGTCCCCCTCAAAAATATTTCTTCATACACAGTCCCCTCATCATCCTTTTTCTGGGGGATGAGGATTGCCATGCATCAATACTACGCGGCTATGCAATGACCATATATGATTTTAATTTATCTCCTTAATTTTTTGCATATACACAAACTATGGAGACAGAAAAGAAAAGCAAAAAAGCAACTAGATCCCCTGATGCATTATTGTCGGTGCATAATGTCAAAGATAGCAAACTCACATACGGAAAAGTGCAGGACAATAACTATAGTAGCAACTAGAAAAAATACCAGGGAAAAACTTAAGGGTGCACTTGAGAGAATATAAGCGGTTTAGTGCTGGTGCTGGCTGCTCGCTCATTTGTCTTCATTTCGTTTTTTTTTTTTTCATAATGCAGCATGATCGCAACGAGCCTTTAGTTGCGTGTCTTTGCACGCGGTGTTCTTCGGCTGGTGGAGGCTATCAAATGGTGAGCCGCAGAATACGCGAATATCACCGAAACCGCGATTTTGACCAAGCCAGAGACAGGCACTCGCACAATGGTACTTTTACAGAATCGTCTCATAGTATTGAAATGTCATAAGTCTCATTATTATGTGCTGTATATACAGTGAGTGCTATCGTTGCCGATATTGAGAGTACTTTACAGCAAGAAAATCCATCGCCATCACCTTTAGGTGACAATTTGGATATGGATATAGACATGATCGATGATCCTCCCTCCTCCCCTGGTATGACGATGATTTGTAAATGCAATAAACATGGGAATAGACGATTCACTATCATTAAGTAAATAGATACTGTTGCAGGCCGCCGTTTCACACCTTTTTCTGCCGAGGACAATGT